TCAGAATTCTAAGTTCCAAACTTGAAATAATATATTAAAAGATAAAAACTATGAAATAGTATAAGAAATATTTTAAAATTATATCAAAGTAAATATTTTTATGTATAAAATAAAATTTTAAAATTATATATATAATGTCGGGTTGGTTTGGTCTCAGGTTGGTTTTTTTAGTTAAAACCAAACCAACCCAAATATAGTCGGGGTTTTTTTCTCAATACCAAACCAAGTCAAACCAAACAACTAGTTGGGTTTTTTTCCCGGTTTGACTCGATTTGCGGTTTGGTTCGGTTTTCGGTTTGATTTTGTACACCCCTAACTTATACATACATAGACACCTCAACTCATCATGTCAATTGAACACTCTAACTTACAAAATGATCATTTAAATACCTTCAAAATTTATATTTCACATTGAATGTCCACGAGACACCATAAAAACAAATTGAATTATTGGATATCTTATCAATCAAATTAAAATATCTAAATATACATTTTCAAAATTCAAATACTCACTAATTATTAACTAAAATCAAATTTAAATGTCTTGAAAATACTTACTAATTGTTAACTAAAATCAAATTTAAATATCTGTTTATATATCGTGTCTAAATTGAACTTCAAAAGTGATGTAGAAAATGACAGAAAGATGCTGAAGCTTAGAATAAAATCATATTTTAAGTTTTTGACAGATTTAACGCTACTGTCATAAGTAAAGAATATATTCCGACCAAAAAAAAGTACAGTTCGGTGACAGATTTCACCTCTATGTGACCCACTTTTTATTTTATTTTTAACGATCCACAATTGAGATTTCGGTAGCATAAAATGTACGCAAATTTTGTTACTATCTGGTGAAGATAAAAACTTTTCTATTTTTAAAAAAATTATATAAAAAGGAAGACGTATTTATTATAAAAATAAAATTTATACTTCTAAATTTACTTTCAATCAAATAACTTATATAGTCATACAAACGTTTATAACTTATTTTAAGCCACAAATTTCAAAGAAAAATAATCAAAATCGACTCCTATTCAAACAATATCACATAAAGCAAAAAGTTTGTTTCTTTGATTATCACACTATTTTATTGTCATTATTGTTTCTTTCTTGTAGACCTTCCAATGTTTTTCTTATTAACTGTTATGCTTTATTCATTGTTTTCTTCTACTTGAGTTTGATGCACTTGTGCCGATGGTCTTTCGAAAACAATTTTTCTACCTTCACGAGATAGTGATAAAACCTGCATACACTCTACCTTTCTCAAACCCCACTTATTGAATTTCACTGAGTACACGAAAGTCATAAAAGTAAAATAAAGTATGAAGATACAAAAAGTTAGATTTGTGGAAGTTATAAATACAAGTTGTTGTTTTTCATGTCTTGGACTTTAACTTTCTGTGTACATACAATATATTCCATATGCACAATATTATAATTATTATTAGCATGAGTTTCATAATTCTTTGTACTGTGATTTTTTTCTTAGACTTAACATATGCTCACTCTAATTCCAATTTGATCAAAAGAAAGGCTATTTTTGTTCATGAAAAGCTTTATTCCCATGGTGGCCACCACAAACATCATCACAATTCTCTTGATAGATCAAATGATACACAAGTGAATACAGATTTCAAGTCATGGTATTTTAGACCTACACATGAACATCATCATCCTCGACTTCGAGTTGTAAGAGCCTCGTTTTTCGCACCTTTTTTTCTTTTTAATTCTGCAGAGGCGGATTCAAGATTTTAATTTTAGAGGGTCGGAGTTCAATCTTTATGATGTTACCGCTAAACCAATTGCATGTTTCTACGTAAGTGACACCTCTCACTGATTGTCTCTTCTCCACCCTAACACATTCCACCTCCATCCCACCCCCGATAGCGCGTATCATAAGTGAATCTAGGATTTGAAGTTTATGCGTTTCAATAACGACCTTGTGTTAATGCATTAGGTTGATTTCTTAGTAAGAAAACAAAAGGTTGAGCAAAAACTATTGGGTTCACGTGAACACATAGCTATAAGTTGGCTAGATCCGCCCCTGACCCCCCACAGCTCAATTTCTCGTATAGTGTTTACCTAGATTATACACAAATATCTCTGGAACAATATTTTCTTCTTATATACGTCAAACACAAAAAAAAATAATCTTATTTTCCAGAAAAATATTTTTCGTCATACCAAACATACCCTATGTCATAAATAACCTCATTTCTTACATCTTATGATAGGTACATGGGGTTGTAAACATTTTTGGATGGGGAATCCTCTTACCTATAGGTGTAATAATTGCAAGATATTACAAAAGACATCCATTAAAATGTGAGGAATGGTATTCACTTCATGTACTTTCAAAAGTAGCAGGATTTGTTTTGGGCACAATTGGATGGGGTCTTGGCATGTCAATGATGAAAAATTCACCCAAAGATCAACACACTATGATGAGTACTCATGGAATTATTGGCACCATAATCTTCACTTTCACTACTATCCAAGTAAGACACAAATAGTACTCTTTGATTTGATTTAATTTTTAGAGACGAATTTAGAATATAAATTTAGTTTGCGCGCTAGTTCATCATGTACCACTTAATATATACGCATGTATATTTTATGTTTTTCTTGTTACGAATATACATATGTATGTACTTTGAGTTTAAGCTATGTACATTTATATTATTGTTTATATATTGCACAACCTCTACATCTACTACAATAAAAAACAAAACATTTATTGTTGCATAAATATTTAATTGTAATTGAATTAATGTCATTGCATCTAGAGTCGCTAAAGCTTTTAGTGACATTTATATAAAGTGTTGGTTATATATACCCATATTTATTATTTATGCTAAATATAATATAGCGGCAATTATATTGTTATCGCTAAATCCTTTATTTGTTGTAGTGAATTCCATTAAACATTTGTATATAGACATATTTGTAAAAAGTTTGAAGAATCTATATACATATACTTAGTTTGACATGATAATAAGTTTAAGAAATAAAGAAAAAATTTAAAATTTATCCATAATTAATTTCTATTTTTTTTATAGTGCTTTTAAAACTTATTATAGTCAACATGTCATAACATTTGTGTGATCAATCATTTTTAGGTTTTGGCGATATGTTTGCAGCCAGATGAAGAAAATGTATACAGGAAATATTGGGTGATATACCATAACATTTTAGGTTATGCTTTGTTAATCCTAACAATTGTAAATATATTTCAAGGAATTGACAAGGTAGAAGCAAGTCATAGATGGAAATGGTCTTATGTTGTAATTGTAAGTGTTTTGGGATTGATTGCTCTTGTTTTGGAACTTCTTCCATGTTGTAATATGATTAAAAATAAATTTTACAGTAGTATTTAATTTTTTCCCTCAAATTTGGCGGTCTTTCATTTTTGTACTTCAAGCACATTAAGTAAAATATTAAGTGGACGAAAATATTCGTGACACCAAAATAACAAACAATTTTCGATCGAAATAAATTTATAATTCGGTATCATAACATAACACAAGTTATCTCACTTAATTCCTACAAAGTTTATGACGGTAGAGGCAAAAGTTCAGTTCAAAAGTCACAAGTTATGTGGTAAAAGACATAACTTAGTTCCTACGTCACTTATGTTGATAGAGGCAAAACTTTAGTTTCAGAACCCACAGTTATGTCATAAAAGACGTAACTTCATTCCTACACAACTTATGTCGAGCAAGAAAAATTCTCTAAACTTATGTCAAGCTAATTAGATACTACATAACTTATATCGAATAATTTAATTCTATTGTAACTTATGCCAGACGAGGCAAAAATTCTCTAAACTTATGTCAAGCAAATTTAGGTTATAGATAAAGATACTTTGGCCCACAATTTTCCTTTAAATGACCAAAATACCCCAGTAATCTCTCAAACCCTTTTTCTACTACATAAGGTGGATGGTATTTTTTTAAATTAATAACTTCTTCTTAGAAATTATGTATTGCATATTATTTTTAATACAACAAATTAAACGGTCAATAAAATGACTAATCTCAACATAGACTTACACACTAAATATTTGAGATGCTTTACTTGAGGCGATGGTCTATCAAAAATAGCGTCGCCGTCTATATAAGGTAGGAGTAAGATTTACTTACACTTTACTCACGTCAAACCTCATTTTTAGGATTATGTTGATATGGTGTTGTACACATTAAATATTGGCATAATACATAAATATGCCATTTAACTTGGCTTCAAATCACATTTATGTCCTTCAACTTTGAGTGTGCACAAATACACACATGTCCTACATGGCATCCTACATGTCATTTTTTATCCTACATGGTGTCATACGTGTATTGTGCCACATAGGACTCATGTGTCTACTTGTTCAACTTTATACAAGTTTAAGTGTCTATTTGTGTATATCCAAAGTTGGAGGGCATAAATGTGAAATGAGGCCAAATTAAATGGCTTATTTATGTATTATGCCTTAAATATTTGGGGAAAATGAAAGGTATGAAGTTAGAGGAACAAAATTAAGTTAGGGAGATAGAGATGTGTGAGTTATGTAAGTGAAGTTTTTTAATATAAAAAAGGAAAAAGGGAGAGCAAGAAAGCAAAAGAGAGAGCATGTTTAGGTATGAAACTAGCAAAATGATTAATAGTTTAGGATTTTGACTTATTTAATCAAAAACTTAAACAAAGAGAAAAAGAAAAATTATATATATTTGACAAGTTTTTTTCTTAACCTCTCCTTAGGAGTTTCCACTTGTTTGCTCCCTTACTCGAACCCACGACCTTAAAATTGTAGGTAAAAATATGTTTTACCACCCGAGCAACCCCTCTTGACATATTCAACAAGAATACTCTCTATGAGAAGGAATAAACATGTGTACAGAACAAAGTATACTTGCCCCTAACTTCAAGAATCCAATAACACTACTTCTCAAGAAAGTATATTTAATTATATACTAAGATCACATAACCAGTTCTTCTTTTGTTCTTTTCTTTCCTAAAAAGTTCTCAACAATACTATGACATCCAAAGATTTGCATTATATAATAATGTACTCTAAAAACTGTTCATGATCAACCACAATTCCATTCACTTGAAAAAACAAAAAAAAATGCAGCATTCTAGGCCAGAGTTACCAGTTAATCGTCGCGATCAAGATCGCCCTGTAAGGCGACACCATAGTGCTAGCTACTATGCCCACTGGGTTAAAGAAAGTTTAACCACAAGAGTGTCAAAGCTCATATGTGCTATATTCTTAGGCCTTCTTGCAATTGTTGGACTCATCACATTCATTTTATGGCTAAGTCTTCGTCCCCATCGTCCACATATTTTCCTCAATGACTTCTCTATTCCTGCTTTAGGCCACGGAGATGGTGGTGGTGGACCTGAAAATGCACACATAAGCTTCAGAGTTACAGCAAGGAATTCAAATCAAGGTATTGGAATCTACTATGATGCAAGTCAAGTGACGGTGTATTATCGAGAAAAGAGCGTTGGAGGGTACCAAGTGTCGACAACATTCTATCAACAGCCTAAGAATAGCACCCTGTTTGCTAGTACGCTTAGTGGTTCATCATTGACATTGACAGAGTCACAGTGGAAGCAAATGCTGCATGATCGGTCGAGGGGGGCAGTGATTTTTCGTGTTGAATTAGTTTCGACTATAAGATTTAAGATTTCGTCGTGGAGCAGTAAACATCATAGGTTTCATGCTAATTGTCCCGCTGGACTAGGACAAGATGGCAAGCTGTTGCCTATTTATATGGACAAGAGGTGTTCTTTTTATTTCTATTGATGAATTAGGAAGGGGAACATTTATTTATGATATTTTCCATTTGTTGTCCTATTCTTATCACAACAATAACATACCTAGTGTAATCCCACAAGTGGGTCTAATTAGGGTAGTGTGTACGCACACCTTACTGATTCTAATAGACCCATAGAAGGTAGAGTGGTTGTTTCCGATAGACCCTTGTTGTCCTATTCTTGTTGATTTTTCATTTTTAGGCATGTATTCGACTACAAAATTGAAGTGCATTATTTCTGAACTAAAGAAACTCTGTTGAACCAACTAACAAAGAGATGATAAATAGCAGAGTAGACAACAACAAAGGAACACAAAAAGGTATTCTGTTTTTACATGCAACAAGGCCTTAAATAGAAGCTCAAAGTGTGTTTCGATTTGCTAGTTCTGTTCTTTGATAATCTCAGGGAGGTACTCAATAATCGTTAACTGATATTGAGAATATGACAGAAGCTATTGACAGATTCTAAATAGCCCAGTTAATTAACATCGGGCGTGCAGCATTAAGACTAATTTAAAGATATGAAATTACCTCTCGATAGATGCATAATAAATGTTTCTAAACATAAGTTCTTTGCTTTCAAGGAGCATGTAATGTCATAAAGGCAAGAGAAACAACAAGTTCAGGTACAAATTCATTTTCTAGTCTATGTCCAAGATAACGTTGCTCAGCAATAAATATGATCAAAAGAATGCAAGTGATATGGAATCAATAGGTCCTCAGATGGTCCCACCGGGTGGCGGGTGAACATCAAATGACATGCATAGTCAAATAAATGTTCAAATCATGGATTTCTGTATAGGATTGGCATTCAAGCAGAATTCTTACTTCAAGATTTGACGATGTTTAGCAATTTGTCTTCGCCAATCACGTATAGGAATCTGCAGTTAGCCACAGCAATTATCAAACTATCATAAAGAAAAAACAAGTTCAGAATTTTTTCAGAAGAGACTAGATGACACCATGAACAACGGTAGAGTCCTTACAGCAGGAAAGCCACCATAATCTCCGGGCACACTAATATCCTTGGTGACGCAGCTATTAGCTGCTAACCTAACCTGTAGCATCAAAACACTATTATATAGTTTCATCGTTAATTATGTATACATACTATACATAATATCTTCCGAAAAGCCGCATAGAATGTTCATAATCAACAGAAAAAGTAGGTAGTATGCAGTGAGAAATTTAGTATCTAGATTCATGATAAATTAACCAAGTTGAACTACTTTATGGTTCACAACATCCCTCAGTGTCTTGGAAAAGATTTTACAATAAAATAAAGTAATATCCTTTTAATAAAATAGAATCCTCCCATCACTACAAAGAGATTGCCTTGTTTCTACTTTTTGGTTTCTCCCAAAATGGTATCTGCTATCTTTGACGGAACCTTTCCCTCACAGATTAATTATTTTATAATGTTAGTACTTCAAGAGCTATATGGAGCCTGCTTTTAATTCCTTAATGTCCAGTCTTTTTACTCAAAATTCCTATATCTCAAACCTATCGAAAAGTATCCTTTATCCTGAGTGAGAGGCACGTAAACTAGGACAGATATACTGCCATTGGCAGTAGAAATAAAGAGATATACTGAAACAAACCCGATTTCCAATACAAACACTGATATTTATAGTTATTGCTGAATACAAATTACAGCGGATAATACACACAACAAAGTAATAACACACTAATTACGGATAGATTAACATAGAAGAAGATAACTAGAAGGGGATGCGATACTAGAACAGAGAAAGGGGATGAGAGATAACTGACAGCCAAAGCTTCAACATAATTGTCTAACCGTTCTTCTAACTTCTAGTCCTTTTTAACAAATGTTTATTGGGCCTGGATCCCAAATAAAGACTCTAATAGCCCATAGGCCCTTACAGAGTCAGTTTGGTTCACAACAATACTCCCGCTCTCAAAAAGAACCTTGTCCTCAAGGTTCAAGTCGTGAAATTCATCCAAAACTCTCTCAATTATCAGACGAGTAACAATTTCCACACACTGCAATGTCACAAGTGTAAAGTGAAACAACACTCCTCCATCCAACAATAAATTTGGCCAAAGAAAATGATCTAGATGGTCTGATGCAAAGTTCAGCTTTATGTTGTCTTTGGAGAGTATTAAGGAAATTGGCATTACTTTCATTACCTCTTGAACATCTTGTCCAACTTTAACTAGAACCATACCACCTCTAAAATGGCAAATGTCTCTGCAACATACTCCTCTAGGTTGATATTTGTAGGATAATGCCTGGAAAGGTGGATTTGTGCAAAATTTCACTAGTACCAAAGGCAACCCTTGGTTCAACTGATTTAAGTGCTTCATAACACCATGAACAATGGTAGAGATGTAATCCAGAACAAAATTAAGATGTAATCCCATTTCATCAGTTAAAGAAAAGAAGTTGTTCCTAATTAGTCGACCGACCAGTGAAGTTCTTTGGATATAAAAATCAATTGGACAAAAAGTTGGCACCACCTTTGGCCGATCCAGTGACATAAGACGAGTAAACTTATAACTTTCAACTGCCGCAGAAACAGATGTATTCATCCTCTTAGCTACTCCAGCAATCTGGTAGGTTCTCGTCCAGTTAACGGCACCACCATTATCAATCACACCAGTTGTCCATAGATGAATCATATAAACAACATCCATGATGCATGCCACAACAAAATGTAGGAAGAGTCTCACAAAACAGCCACTGATATAATCATCCATGTTATTCCCATTTCGCACTAGCTGCACAACCATTCCTGCCTCCAATAGTGCAATTCTAGCGTTCCAAACAATGGTAGAACCAATTGCGGAAATAGCATCTACAAGCAAATAAATATTAGTGAAGGAGGGAAATGCTTTATCCACTTCTTTGTCTATGTCCTTCAAAACAAATTCCTTAAAAATAACAGTCCAACTAAAATTGGGATCTCCAATTAATGATCTTGCAACCTTGTGGCCACAACCAATGGCACAAAACCACCGAAGACTGTCATCGAACATCCTTGTTGTACTAATTCTGAAATGTTTAACAATTACCTCGTCCATTGAAAACAGTCCCAAGTCATCAGGGAGCTCACAATCATTGTACTCTCGTCCAACAACTACCATCTTCCAATACTTCACTGCAGTGATTGCTTTCATGAGCTTAGCATCATCAACAACTTCGCCCAGGAAGGAAGGGTTCATGTAATTATCATTGTGCACACCGAAAGCACACAACGACAGACTAGTGGTACGGACATGTTGTCCACCTTCTCGACTTGATTGATCATGAGGCAGTTCAGAGAGAACTTTGTTTGGAAATGAAATTGCTTCATCATTAGTAGTGTTATCAGATAAATCTGGAACTGTCACCATTTGATCATACACACTAAGCACCGAAGAAATTATTAGTGATGGCCTATAGTGCATTTCTTCAAAAGTGTCCCTATTATTTTCAAGAGAGGTAATGTCCGAAGAATCTAAATCATTACCCTTCTCGGGAATTTTATCGAACATGTGGTCTACCTCAAAATTTTCAGCAAAGAGATTGTATTGATCATAAGACTGAGGCGAGGATGAGTTAGTAATATTACCCCACGATGGAATAGCCTCTTGATAATAATCCATTGCCTTATCATTCTTGTTCTTGGGAACGGGCAAGAACCCGCGAGATGTGTCTCTATTACGGGAGCGAAAACGAATCATCAATTTGTCCACAAAATGGTCCCAACCAACGAGTTGTTTGTTGTGAAATAACCATCGATACCATTCCAAAGCCTCACCATCAAAATAGAACGATGCCACATTAAGCTTCTGATCTTCCTCAATTTTATAGAAATTAAAGTAGCGTTCTACCTGAGAAATCCATAACTTTGGATTCTCGCCACAAAATCGTTGAAATTCCACCGTTCCAGATTTACTGGTAGGAAGGTTTCCAACCAACTCGCGTAACAATGAACGAATTTCAGCGAGATCCTTCGACCAAGTATCCTTCACAACCTTGATTGAATCTTCTATTGTTCGATATATTTGGTCCTCCATCGAAGACCTCTGGATGAAAGCACCAATGAAACAAACCCGATTTCTAATACAAACACTGATATTTATAGTTATTGCTGAATACAAATTACAACGGATAATACACACAACAAAGTAATAACACACTAATTACGGATAGATTAACATAGAAGAAGATAACTAGAAGGGGATGCGATACTAGAATAGAGAAAGGGGATGAGAGATAACTGACAGTCAAAGCTTCAACATAATTGTCTAACCGTTCTTCTAACTTCTAGTCCTTTTTAACAAATGTTTATTGGGCCTGGATCCCAAATAAAGACTCTAATAGCCCATAGGCCCTTACAGAGTCAGTTTGGTTCACAACATATACTGACTTCATGAACAGACAACATGCGACAGGAATCCCATAACCATCATAGAATGTACAATAACATTCTAGTTCTTTTTTGAAAAAGCGTAATAACATTCTGATTCTGATTTAGGCTAGAAGAAGGTAAGAGGATAATAGCATCATCATCCAACAAACTAAAATAAGTTCTATGACTACAGAATGTTACACATGTGGTTTACTCCAATTTCTTGTCTTTTATCCTACAATATCCATTAGCTCAAGACACATACGGAAAAGGAGGACGAACTTGAGGCAAGAGAACAGGTACACAAAAATGCAACTTTCTTTTAATTGTGACAATCAACTCATTTGTGACATTTCTGGCTTCTCAACTTTGTCCATTAAGATCAATACTAGGCAATGAATTAACATGATAATGTCAAGGTAAAGCATTGCCAAATAGAACTTGTGATGCATATAGTGGTAAGTGGTAACATATGATCTCTTCTTGCTTGGAGTAAAGTGTTCTAGCATTTCCATTTCCCCACGCAATATAATATAAAAAATCTATTAAACATAATTACATGTATGTTATGGAGTAATCATTCCACATAGAATGACACTAAATGGTGCTAGTCAAGGAACAGATCATTAGTTAAATAGAAAATTATACCTTCGAGGCAATGTTTACATGATCACGGATCCCAACTCTTCCTCCTAAAGTTACATAGTCACCTATACTAAGAAAACAGGACGGATGTTTAGATTAATCTAAAATAAGAACAAATGTATATTCCTGAAAGTTAAAAGTTCACTGAACTAGAAAGTTAAATAAATTGCTGATCAAATCCAAAAAAGATGTTTACTTCCATTTTTTATCAAAATAGGGTTAAAAAGGAAACATACGTCACTGATCCCGCAACCCCAACTTGTCCACAAATGAGGCAGCTTCTCCCAATCACTACATTGTGACCTATCTGTATTGCGAATCATAAGAACCGTCTCAAAACCGAGCATTTCGTCAAAACTTCATAAGTAGGAAAGTACCTGAACTAAATTATCTATCTTTGTATGTTCTCCAACCACTGTATCCCTCCAACTGCATGGCCTCGGAATGAAGTGGCATATGATTAAGCTCAGAAACATTAGCAATAAAGAATTCAAAAACAGCATCGATCTCACCTGCCCCTATCGATACATGTATTTGCACCTATTTCTACATGGTTTTCTATTCTCGCCTTCAGGGTCTGCAGATGAAAGTAATAAAAAAAGATAAATAGGCTTGAAAGACTATAAAAGGCTGTAGCTCATAATACCTCAAGTATATGAAAAAACATTCAGTACAAGCTTATATAGTTAATCTGCCATCAACTTCTTTTAAAAGAGAATTAACTTTTATAGGTAGTTGATCTGGCATCAAACAACGAGAGACAGATCTAGGTTCGGACCAACTACTGTTAGCTCAAGCTCAGT